TGATGACCATCACAACTAAGATCTCTAAATTGTTTATAATATGGGCCACGCCAATAGTCAATAGTGAGGTTCGAAATCAAAAACACGTGATCGGATATCCGTACCCTTAATCACAACCATATAAGTGCTTTATTATTAAAAAAAAATATAGCGTCAATAGCCTAATGGTTACGTAGGTTCAAATTCCGCAATTCAACTATTGTCGTAAACCATGTAGAACAAGCATTGAACTTAGTTGAAATGGTTCGAGAATTATTAGTAAATGAATAAAAATACGCACAAAAATCTAACAAACACGTTCAATACCTAGGAATTTTCTAATTTGATAGAATCTTTGGCATCCAACGAGAGATTAACAGTAAAAAATATAATCAGTTTTTAAAATTCCATTATTAATTTACCATTCCAGTGAATTTTATTAGTTTATTTATTAACTGTTCATGTTAAAATATCTGTTAATGATGTTGATGAGCTGACGTAAGGCACAAAGCACTGGCATACCGAGGTTGATAAGCGCCTTGATTGGAGGCGCGTCCTCAATTGGCATAATCTGTATTTTCGGCGGGAAATGATTCAATCAATACGCTGGCTATATTTGAACAATCTATTTGCGAATTCGTATTGAACTGGTGTACGGGTGAGCTAATTTTGAAGACTTTTTAGGATTTATTGATATGAGTTTGTTCTTCTTCTAAATCACAGTAATGTTTGATTGTAAATAATTTGGTTATAAAATTTCCATTAACAATTTCACTTGTACACAGTTCGTAAAATAGTTTTTAAAAACGTCAGTGTGAATAAATATTACTAATATTATAAATGCGAATTATTGGCTGTATGGTAGATGGATGTTTATTTGAAGGTATCTCCAGAACGCCTGTATAGATCTCGCTGATATTTGTCATAGATGTAGAATATAGCCTTTTTTATACCATAAGGTGGCAAACGAGCGAGCGGCCACCTGAAATCGCTGAAATAGCGAAGTGACCGTTGCCCATACACATTCGCAATTGCATATGCGTCGCCTACCTTTAATCAACGGAGGAGAGGATGCACAGAAAGAAAATATTTTCCGTTCCCATGCATCCTCTCATCCAGAAAATTCACTTCCACTTCCCATCCTTTCCTTATAAGAAAAAAGTTTGGAAGGGAAAGATGACTAAATTAGGCCTCCGGGACGCACACTCATCAGACGAAACGCGGAATTGCTTCCACTTCACGCCTGTCTTCTGTGTGGTCGTGGTATTTGGGTGTTAGTCTGCAAGAATACAAGAGTTACTAATATTTTTTATTCAATTTAAGCGGACGCAGTAGCACCAGCAAATGAATATAAAACTTTATTTAGTTAAATTATTAACAGAGTTGTGAAAGATGATCAAAGCGGAGATTTAATATCTAAGTATGTATTAACGTAATCAGTGAGTCGATGTAAATCATTTGAGCGGCTCAACAAATTGAATCTTGCTACGTCGCGTCGCGTCGCTTATAAACGATTGCGACTCCGATAAGCCAAACGACTTTATTACGTGTGTTAAATGCTTTAAGTGAAATATTTCAATAAAATACTGAATAGCTTTTACAGAATTTTCGTAATCTATTATCTTATTAATCGATGGTTGGATGTTTGAAGGTATCACCAGAACGTCTACAAAATTCTCGCTAAAAGCATAGATGTAGAGCATAGTCTAGAAGAACACATAGGCTACTAATAAAGTTTTCTCTTGTCTGTTTAAAAATCGTTGTTGAAAATGCAATAGCTTACTTCTTTTATTTTAATTTTAAAATGTTGTGTTGTTCTTTCCGCTACAAAGGTGAACGTAGCGCAAACATTTGAAGCTTTTACTTTAATTCTATCAAGTGCAGTGATCCTGAACGTGCGACTCGGCAACGACTTAACTGATTGTAAAGATTGTTAAGTTGTAAAGTATTGATGGCTTTTAAATGTTTACCTCCTAGGTTTTTTAAAAGAAGCTCTAAGTATCTTTTGAAATTTGCTTTAGGTAACTTCCGTAGAATTTAAAAATCTTTTCAGATTTGTATAATATATTTTCTTATATAGCCTTTTAAGATTATTGTGCTTATTGGAATATAAGTTTTAAAAATAATTTGCTTTATCTATCTCATTTTATCTTCATTTATTTGCGACTAGCAGTCGTCCGCGACTTCGTCCACGCGGAAAAAAAATAATAAATAGCCTATGCATTCTTCCAAACTATGCCTATGTTCTACATCTATGCTAAATTTCAGCGTGATCCGTTCAGCGGTTCCGGAGATACCTTCCAACAAACAATCCATCTAAACATTCGCATTTATAAGTATGATATTTGCTTAGTATTAAAATCATGATAGCAATAGACATTTATTTACGCAGTTGCGATAATACGGAATGGCGCACAGAACCAGTTGGCTTGAATCGCCCTGTGAGCAAGATTGCTGGGAAGTTTGTTCATTAGTCGCCCGCGCTGACCTGTACTCAAATGTGAAAAGTTTAATTGTCTGAGTGCCGGTAGGGGGCGCTACTGTTTCTCATTGCCGATTCAACATAACTTTCCGCTTTAATTACACGTTGAAAAGAGTGGATGGTATTAAATAATTAACTGGACCTTCGTTGTTAAAGTTCAGTTTATATGGTACGTTAGAAACTAGGTACATAATTAACTATTGGTTTCCAAGACTAAATTCCTAATTTAAAACATATCATTATCCCTGTTTTGTCAAAGATAATGACAGGGATGCCAATGACGATGTTTATATATAGATTTCGTTCTCGGAAACCCACGGTTAATAGTTTATATGCTTCTTTAAAATATTATTTTTATTTTAAGAGGCCAGGTTCGCCCGGTGAAATACCACCACCACACAGAAAACAGGCGTGAAGTGGAAGCAATTCCGCGTTTCGTCTGATGAGTGTGCGTCCCGGAGGCCTAATTTAGTCCTCTTTCCCTTCCCACCCTTTTCTTATAAGGAAAGGATGGGAAGTGGAAGTGGAATTTTCGGATGAGAGGATGCATGGATAGGAAAAATATTTTCTTTCTGTGCATCCTCTCCTCCGTCGATTAAAGGTAGGCAACGCATATGCAATTGCGTATGTCTATGGGCAACGGTCACTTCGCTATTTCAGCGATTTCAGGTGGCCGCTCGCTCGTTTGCCACCTTATGATATAAAAAAAAATATTAATACGTACTTTTTAATACTAAGTGATCCAGACACAACATTTCTTTTCGGAACCATTTTTATAAGAAAAGTTACTTATGATTCCGTTTGTGGTGATTGAATCTAGCAAGACTTATGAAGTCATTTGTAATACTTGTGATTTTTATTGTTACAAATTTGAATACTGTTTTGTTTCATCATCATAAACAGCCTAAATTTGTCCACTGCTGGACGTAGGCCTTCGTCATCGATTGCTATAATGCCCAGTCCTGTGCTATTCGCATCCAGTGCACTCCCGCAACCTTGACCAGGTTATCGGTCCTTTTTTGTTTGGATTTATCTTAAATAATAAAATGAGTAATTGAAACGGTATACAAAGGATAAGGAATCAAAAGATAAATTATTAAAACTAGAAATAAATGAATTGTTTATAAGTATTTCTAATTAACAAAATGGCGTCTTAGAACACAGAAAGGTTCTTTCTGGGAAATACGGACAATGAACATTTACCTTCACAACGCTTGCTTTAAAGGGCCTTTCGTTTGATTAACATTGCTTCTTCGTACAAAAATGAAAAGCCTATACTGTAAAGGTTACCACGTTCAAAGGAACTTTATCATTATTCTGATCGTATGAAATTTTATGTTTGATAGAAATTATGTTATATAAAGTTTAAAAAAAAATGTTATTCGAAATTTGAAATTATTTTATTCTTCGTATTCTTCGAGACATTTAAAAAATATGTTATTATACTTAATATTAAAATATTATTCAAGATAAAATATTAAGGGATAATATTGGATCCAATAAATATAATCTAATAAAGTTTCTAATTTTATATGAAAGATATAATAAAAATTCTGTATTCATATAATTTTCAAACCTAAATAACTTCGTAAATAGCTAATAAAAGGATTTTCTATTCTATTCGGTTCTAATATGAAATTTTAGTACGTAACAACACTTGTTAAATAAAAAGTATGTATGTATAGAAGCAAATAAGAACAAACTCCGGGGACGAATACAAATCAAGATTGAAAATGAAATAGTGGAGTTATCTTAAATCCATCAGCTTGTTTAAACTACAGAAGGTCGCAATAACACGGATTTACAAACTCGTAAATACGCTTTTTTAAATACAAAAATGCTACAACTCAGCGTAGGCATTTGCTACGTAATTCGTAGCAAAATAAAAGTTCTACAAGATGTTTCAACATTTAAAAACTTTAACGTTAAATTCCATTCATTATATTTTTGGAACAAATAGAAATTTGTAACATTTAACAACTCGATTTAAATGGTACAAAGACCACGTTATCTTCTCATATCTACATATATATAATATAATAATCAATTGCTGTCCATTAGTCTCGCTAAAACTCGAAGAACAGCTGAATAGATTTATCTTATCTTGGTCTGGTAATGTTCGTGGAGGTCTAGGGAAGGTTTAAAAGGCGACTATAATTCGAATAATTGCCGGGAACTAATTGTTTTTTTTTGTTGCGCGGACGGTTTCGCGGGCGGCAGCTAGTTTCTTATAAAAGTGAATATAATTGTTTTATGTAATTTAAAGGGGGGATCTTATCATTACCGTTTTGTATAATCTATGTATGAATAATGTAACCTCGTTCTAGAATATACGGAACATAGAATATTCTTCATTAAGGCTAATGTATTCGATAGTGTATGTAATGCCTTAATTTCCCTTTAGACAGCGATTCCGAAGGCGATGATATCGTTTTTACTAATTAATTAATTAACGCGACTATATTTTGTTTCATAAACAAGTTATGTCGCGTAGTGGCGCATAGTACGGTAGTCGTTTGTTAGCAGCGGTAGAGTGAGGACGTGCGCTCCGCAGCTTTACAACGGCTTCGTGAAATAATTAAATTACCGAAAATTAATCTATAACAAACTTGCACGTGATTGCATGCGTTTGTGGCGTTGAGTGATTGGATGTTAATTTCTTGACGAAGTTTAGCGAGTTTGTGTTTAAAAAAATTGACGGTGAATTTTTAAAATTAAGTACGTGTTAAGTTTTGGTGTTGTTATAAGTATGGGAGTGTTCATGTGAGTAATTTAATTTTGTAAGTGTTTTGAGGCTTCGATTAAAGCTACGAAAATAAGGTATGTATTGCGTGCTGTTTCGAGTGTGTTACTACCGCGTGCTCTAGATTGTAACTATAACGACTTTCATAATTATTTGTGCGGTTCAAATCTTGAATTTAATAAAATGTCGATACCTTGTTAATAATATGTGAAAATGTGAATAGTTTTTTTTAACCTGTTTGAATAGACGTCTCAATAAAGTCTAATTAATTATTATATATATATTGTATTGTTTTATTAATATTAATTCATTTGTATTAAATGTTTATCTTATATCTTTAAATGAGCAATCGGCTACAACGATTTTCATAAAATTTAGTATATAGGGGGTTTCGGGGGCGATAAATCGATCTAGCTAGGAATCATTTTTAGAAAATGTCATTTTATTCGTGTTTTATCGATAGTCAACTTAAACATAAACTTGGAAGAAAAATAACAAAAAGGAGGCGTTTGAGTAATTATTATTAATATTAATAAAATAAAAAAAATACTGAGCAAAGCTCGGTCATCCAGGTACTTCTTTATTAATCTGTAGGTATACAGCTTTTGTTTAATTCAATTACTTATAAAAGAATTCTTTGAATATATTTCCTTTGTGCGTAAATTAAAAAGGAAAGATTTGTGCTTAGATTTGGAATTACAAGATCTTTTGATCTTAAAAATGTCAAGAATTCAAGATTTTATTCGATATAATCTTTTCTTGTCATCATCGTCCTACCGTTTTCCCTACGGAGGAATTCAGTTTTTACGCATTTCTTACTAATATTATAAATGCGAATGTTTGGATGGATGTTTGTTTGAACGTATCTTGTGAACGGATGCATGGATCTCGCTAAAATTTAACATAAATGTAGAACATAGTCTCGAAAAACACATAGACTAATAGTTTTTTTTTATACTACGCAGACGGTGTTGAGGGCGACAACTTATATAGAATCCATACGTTCTTCAGACTTTCTCTACCAATGTTATGTACATTCAATTTCTTGATATGTCCTATCGTCTGTCCATTATTTTTTTAATTCTATAATAGATAGAGATACGAACAATGTTGATCAATACTGATTTGCGACGTTTGAAAGTTTTTATTTATTTTGGTTGAACCATGGCTTGCGTGAGAACACGAGAACCCCATGGTGATTAACATGCAACGTCTGAACTGTATGCAGGCAGTAAATATTAGTTCGTTGAACGTAATTTAAAAGAAAAACCTTTATTATTCCACAAACACCTGATTCGTTCATTTAAATTAGAAATTTCTGCAAATTATACCGCCTCTCTGTTTTAAGCAGTTCCATCTTAATATTATTAATCTATACTAAAAGTTTTCTTTAGTGTAGAACGACTCTGTGTGTGACGGTTAAGTAACATTTAATATAATTCACATTTGAGTATTTTTGAAAGATCGGCTTACCGACTTGCTACGAGGAAGGTTTCAGGTAAAGCCGATTGGGGCGACATCTGTCGTCACCTGACCACACTATTAAATATGATATTTTCTATACAATAGAAATATCTTTGGATATTTTATGTATTATTTAAATATATCTAGAAAATATTAAGTGCAATTTTCCAAGCAATAGTTAATTAAATGTACATAACTGTTGAAATAAATGGAAAAGATTTTTTAATCATTAAATACTTCTTAATTAATTCTAGTACATGCTTACATACTGACATTTTACCGGAGAAAGACCAAAGAGTAAGTTTTGTCGATGGCCCTAGACACATCCAAAGATTATAAAATTTATCAAATACAACAGTAACAATTCTTTACTTAACCTATTATTAAGGCAACTTTTAACATTCTTTGTAAGTAATTTACTCCCTTACCTAGTGTTTCTCGTATTTAATATTTTAAAAGCTTTAACGTTGTATAACTGTAGTATCTACATATTATAGAATTATCGAGTATTGTCTTTTTAGCCGACTTCAAAAAGAAGGAGGTTATCAATTCGTCTTTTTTTTTATGTGTTACCGCGTAACTCCGCCCCTGGTGCTACGATTTTGTTTTTTTTTATCGAAAAGTTTTCATTGTAGTTGGGGTCCCAATTTTGTTAGTAATTTTTGGTGTAAAGAACTTATAGCCTTACATTTTCTGAATTTTTTTCCAATATGTAACTTTCTCATTCTATGTTTATTACATTTTTAAATCGGAATTGTTTTAGTAAATTGGTTCTAAGAAATTATAACATTATCAAAATAATTTGATGCTTTATGGGTTTTCATAGAACAATAAAGTTCAAATTAAATGGATGATTTAATAAGTTTCGAGTTGTAAGAAGTTTGAAGCGAGATTTTCTAATTCCGCAACAATGTTTAACTGATAAATTTTGCTTTATTATAATAATATAATTTTTGTTTTTCGAATTTACATTTGTAAATTATTAAATAACATTAAATTTATTTTAATCTATAAATTTTTTAATAAGATTATTTGCAATGCAGACCGCCAGGTTCCATCCACACCATCTCGATGGCTGGCAATCCACAACCGTGCGGTTTGCGCGAAACTTCCTGCCTCGCACAGCAGCGTTGTGGAATGGTCTGTCCTCGGCGGTATTTCCAAACCGCTACGACTTAGGGTCCTTCAAGAAGCGAGCTTATCACCACCTCAAAGGCCGGCAACGCATCTGCGGTTCCTCTGGTATTGCTGATGTCCATGGGCGTCGTTGAACACCTCGGTGTTCCCGCTGCTCGTTTGCCCCCTTCTGTTATAAAAAAAAAAAAATGGAAATAAACAATGTTATGTTGTTTTGGATGTACTCAATAATATGCAACATTAAAAACATATCTTAGAATACATTCTTGTTTTAATGTGATAAAAAAATTGAACATTTTTTTTAAAGTAATTTATTCATAGTGTATTTTAACTTTTATATAGAAAAGATTACTATGAAAATAGATATAAAAATATTTGAATATTGTTCTTTGAGGTTAAAATTATTTCAAGCTCTGAACAAGATGCGTGTTAAAATATGTTGTATAGTGAACGTTTAAGTTGAAATTCTTCTAAAAGTATGGAAACATAAGCGTTTAAGTTTTTTAATAAGACTTAGAAAATATTTAATATTACGTTCATTCTCTTACTTGAAGTAATTTTTGAAAGTTGATATTATTTGTACTTGTAATTATTGTATTAAGAAGATACAAAATTACGTATACTTTTGTCATACCATTGCTTTTATTTCTAGCTTTTTATACATGTTCTTTTTACGGCTGTATTAGTAACTAGCTGTCGAACGTGGCTCCGTCCGCGTAGATTAAAAAAAATGCCACACCGCGATCCATGCAATCGTTTTGGAAATATCTTCTAACAAACATCCATCCACCCATACATCCATCCCAACATTTTCATTTATTACATTACTAGCTGTAGCCCGTAACTACGTCCGTGTAGAATTGAAAACTTAATTAATAATGTGTTCTTCCAGACTTTGTTCTAAATATATTCCAAATTTCACTGACGTACGTTCAGCTGTTCTGGAGATACTTTCTAATAAACATCCCATCCCATTCGCATTTATAATATTAGTAAGATTATCATGTATGCAATAAATAATTATAAATATGTGAAACTTAACCAAATTTACAAAGAGACCGAAAAGTTATTATTTAAAATTTAACATAATTATTTTTTAAGCCGTTATAAGTAATTTATTTTAAAGGATTAAAAATCTTTTATTAAGTATTTGGTGTTAAGCGATTTGTAAAAAAATATCAAAATCCAAGGCGTCGGTCGTTATAGAAACACCATAATTTGTCTTACTCAACGTCAACTTTTCTCTTCTAACAGAAACTGAAATATTTTAACTTAATGTATATTTATGAAATAATTAAAGGAAGTACTGTAAAATGCTGCCTAATTTTACGTAAGTAATTTACTGTAAAATAAATTAATGTTTTAGAAATAATTTCTAAAAAGACGTAGGGAAAATCTCTGTTTATTTTGTGTGTATTAAAAACCAAAAACTACGTAATGGAGTGATAAGATTTTGTGTTAGTCGATTAAAATCCAGCTAAGATACAACTACTGAGGCAGTTCGAATTTTATGCACAAAATATCTTCGTAATTCAAAAGTTGAGTCGCTAATTATCGTACTTCTCACTAATATTAATGCGAATGTTTGGATGGATGGAGGGGTGGATTTATTTGAAGGTATGTCCAGAATGACAGAATGGATCTTGATGAAATTTGTCATGCTTATAGAACATAGCCTGGAAGAACACATAGGCTACGAATTATTATTTTTTTTAATTCCTCGGGTCAGAGTCGCGAGACAGGTGGTATAAAATAAAAATTATGATTATAAGAAAACTTCATTTCGACTAACGATAAAAAATTAAACAACCCATAACTACTAAGGTTTTATTAATCATTCGACTCGCGGCTAGTTAAGTGAATAGACGTGTATTGTGTTGCGCGCGCACATCTACTCACAGCGCTTGCGTCACTGCACAGTATAAGTAAAATTATAAGAGGAAACATAATGCTTCGGTCACCAAGTGGAGAACAGTATTCCTCGCAACCGAATCTCACGGAGTCAGGCTTTAATATAACAAAACGAAAACGTAAACAGACTGACGACTACGCAGATTTACGAAATGATTTAACTGAAATGTTTAAAACGTGGTCCGAGCAGCAAGACGCTAAACACAAAGAATTAATTGAGACTATTCTTGAATCGAAGAAACAAAATGAAGAAATTAAAAATATTTTGCAAGAAAAAAATAAAGAAATAGCTGAATTAAAGTCTCAACAAGAAACTTTAATCATCAACCACACAAGTGCCTTAAATAGAATCGATACATTGGAAAAGGAATTAGAAGAGTTTAAAAGAAGTCAACGCCTGAATATAGTTGAAATTAGCAACCTTCCCAAGTTAAAACATGATGACTTTAATCAAATTATTAAAAAATTACACACTGCAATCAAAGTACCATATGACAATAATTTGATAAAAAAGACTCACAAAGCTAAATTTGGGCAAAATAAATTGATTGTCGAATATAAAGATGTTGAAGTGAAACGGAAAGTACTGAAAGCTGTTAAAGATTACAATAAGAATACTATTGACAAGCTTAACAGCGAAACGCTCGGGCTAGAAACTGAAAAAATGCCGATATATGTTTCAGAATCACTGACAAATACGGCTAGAAGGCTATATTTCTCTGCCCGCCAACTTGTTAAAAATGGCATGTATCACTTTTGTTGGATTTCTGAAGGTAAAATCTTGATGAGGGAAAAGCAAGGAGCCCCAGCTATTCACATTCAAACCAGTTTTCAGCTTGAACAACTAAAAGCGAAGTCTTCACAGGCATGACTATATTTCATAATAAGTTTATCATTTCTTAATTGCATGATAGTTTTAGTTTTCTCTACTTTTCGTTTTTTAAACTTAGTTTGCAAGCTTAGAATATTTTCTGGATTATATTTAATGTTTCTATCAATGTTAAAATTTTTCGTAACACCAGTTGCAATTGAAATTATCATTAAGGGCAATATCAATGAATCGATTGTATTTAAAGTAAGGAAATGGCATTACTTATTATTAATTCATTATCAACCAAGGAACAAACAAACACTCGTTCAATATATTAAAATTGAAAATGGATGATTCCTTACATAGTATTATCGCTGACGTTGAAGACAGTATCAACGTCGGCACCTCTTCCTTGGTTGATAATCCCGATCACTGTGCTAACATCCTAATGAAATTTCCTATGGGCATTAGAATAATAGTTCAGAACATACGTAGTATTAATAAAAATTTTGACGACTTTGTGATACTGTTGACTAGGTTAGCAGTAGAATTTGATTTGATCATCTTAAATGAATCCTGGCTACAATATGCTACTAATCTTCCAGTTCTGCCAGATTACACTACTTATCAAACACGCAACCATACTAACCAAAATGGAGGAATAGTTATTTACGTAAAAAATTCTATAAATGTAGTTGTATATGAACCAGAGATGATGGAGTCAGATTGTCTTGTCGTAAACATCAATAATGAACACTCAATAATATGTATTTATCGTTCACCCTCTTTTGCATCAATTAACAATTTTAGTACTTCTCTGGATAATCTACTTTTTTCTCTTCGAAAGTTTAAACACATTAGCTTAACTGGGGACATAAATATCGATATAAAAAATAGTAATAGTGACGCTAAAGCACAGGCCTATCTTAATCTGTTAGCTATGCATGGACTGTTACCTAGCCATACTTTTCCTACCCGCGAAGAAAATTGCCTGGATCATTTTTTCACTAAAACAACTTTAAAAAGCCATTGTATTGTATGCCATACAACTGTTACAGATCATAATACTCTTATCATAACAGCTTACAAATCAAATGACACTTGTAAACATCGTTCAAGATACATAAAACGTACCGATTATGATAAAGCAGTATCAGATCTAAATGATATTGACTGGAACAAAATTACTAGTTGTGATGATCCTAATTTAGCTACAGACGAATTCTTATCTAATATTATTACTACAATAGATAAACATACTAAGATTATTAAAGTTCCCAATCGACAACTCAATATCAAACCCTGGATTACCCCGGGTCTCATGAGGTGCATTAAGTTTAGAGATAAACTGCATTTAAGACTTCGAAAGCATCCTAACGATCAAATAATAAGAATTTCCTATTTGAGGTATAGAAATTTCTGCAATTCTTTATTAAAAAGGATTAAAAATATATATGAACAAAATCAAATAAATGAAAATAAAAATGATATTAGGAAAACATGGCGTACTGTTAAGAATATATGTAACATAGATACATCTCATAAAGAACCAACAGAACTATTAAATTTAAAAGAAAATGTAACAGATTCTATTAATCATATAAATAACTACTTTGTTAGTATAGGTGAAAAATTAGCCAACAATATAATAAAAAAAAAATAATACTATCCCCAATGAATCTTGCCATAGTCCTAACAGGCCTCTTCTCTATTCAGCAAACAATAATAAAAGTTTCAATGTGTCTCCAAATTCTTTTATGCTCATACCTACTTCTCCTCAAGAAGTGTGTAAAATTGTGTTTTCCTTAAAAAACTCCACCTCAACAGGATGGGACGGTATTCCTTCTAGATTTGTTAAACAAGCAATCAACAATTTAGCTATTCCCATTAATTATTAAAAAAGGCAATTGTAATACCAGTATACAAAGCAGGGGAAAGGGGAAATGTGTCTAATTATCGACCCATAGCACTTTTGCCTTGCTTGTCAAAAATTTTAGAAAAGTTGATTAATAATCGTTTACTTGACTATTTAAGCTGGAAAGGATTTCTTTCCCCAAATCAATATGGTTTTAGAGCCAATAAGTCAACAGATGATGCGACAGAACACCTAGTGGCCCATGTTAGCGAATATTTAGACAAAAAATACAAATGTTTAGGTGTGTTCCTAGATATGGCTAAAGCGTTTGATACCGTTTTTATTCCTAAGCTGTTAGATAAATTAGAATCGATTGGTATTCGCGGTGTCGCTCTAAATTTTTTTACAGATTACTTAACTAACCGTAGTCAAGCTGTTAAAATTGGTAACACTATTAGTGAAAGTGCAACGCTCAATTTTGGTGTACCGCAAGGATCTGTTTTGGGCCCTACGCTTTTTCTCATATACATTAATGAGTTAAGTAACCTACAATTAAATAACGCCGAAGTTATAAGTTATGCTGATGACACTGTAGTTATCTTTCGCGGCAGAACGTGGGACGAAACTAAAAGTACTACTGAAGAAGGCCTTCGTTCTATTATGAAGTGTCTCGAAACTAATTTTCTAACCCTTAACCTAACTAAAACTAAATACGTAGCTTTTTCAATAAAAAATAATGACCGACCTTCTGAATACTCTTTCAATGTTAAAGTTCATACATGTAAGCCTAATACTATCGACTGTAATTGTTACGCCATAGCTTCTACTTCCGCAATTCGTTATCTAGGGATTTTAATAGACCACAACCTTAACTGGAAACCGCACATTAGTAACCTTTCATCAAGATTAAGAAAACTTATAACCGTATTCAAAAAATTTAGACATATAAAAGAATCTAAAACCATTAAAACAGTATACTTTGCATTGTGCCAATCTATTACTTCTTATGGTATAATAGTATGGGGTGGTGCAAGCAAAACCAAATTACTAAAAATTGAAAGAGCGCAAAGAGCAGTTATAAAAGTAATCAATTTTCTTAATTTTAGATATCCGACCACGCTGTTGTATAAGGATTTTTCTGTGTTAACAGTCAGGCAATTATTTATTAAACAGACAATTCTTAGACAACACAAAAACCCAACACAAGTGTCAAATACTCGAAGACAGGTGTTTGTCTATAATATTCCACTATGTAGAACAACTTTTGCCCAACACTTTTTTCCGTTCCTAGGACCATTTCTTTATAACCGAATAAATAAATCGATGCCCTTGATAAAATATACAAAATTCAAATTAAAAATGAAAATTCATGAATACCTCTCTAAGATGGACTATGAATCTACAGAAGAGCTATTGACTGTTCCATAATTTATAATTTATTTTTACTTTCAAGTTAACACATATAATTTAAGTCTAATCAATTTAAAATAAATATATCTTGTATTAATGTGTACTTTTTGCATATACTGTACATCTTTC